TCTGGAAATAAAGTTGAATGATTGTTTATGAAGTTTGGCAGCTTGTTTTAGGTATCAATCACTAAATCTCAACAATCAATCCAGTGTTATATGTTTAGTGGCGGCATTGCTCATGGATTTTTCCCTTTGAATAACAAAGTGTAAGGAAGCTGATATTTTAAAAACAGGTTATTATTTGAGGAGTTTTATCTCAGAAACCCTGTGAGCAAATGATCTCAACTTTGTATCACAAACTCTACCTCAGGCCCTGAATTGTCATAACAATTTTCAACCCAATCTGACTATGCATGTGGACTATACAGAGTAAATTGGAAGTAGAAAAATTCATTACAAAAGTTCAATAAGTAACCTTAACTCCAATCCTATATTCCTGCTCCATCGTTTCTATACTTAAGGGTGTAATTATCTTTCTGTTGTCACCTTGATTTTGACCCCTCCTTTATTTTTAAAGGAAAATCCAAAAGGCATGAAACATCTTTTTTTTTTTTTTTTGATTCTCATCAGAATAGATTATTTTGGCAAATTTGAGGTGAATTGGACGAGAAGAGTTAAATTTATGGGAGTTAGAAAAATACAGAAATTTCCCCCTTTTTTTTTTAAACAATTGGTGCAGAGTGGACAGAGTAAAGGTGGACATAAGCCTTGTTTCTGCAGTGTGAGGTCTTACAGCCGTATTTGGAGGATGGATTAAGTATATACATGGCGGTTTATATATGGGGTGCATGTGATGCTGGCAGACCAGGTGCCAGCTCTTGCCAAGGTTGTAGGTGTCAGCTGGGCATAGACAGATTCATAGCTGGAAACCAGACCAACTCACCTGTATGTTAGTATTATTCAAGATAGGCGTTAGACTTACAGGAATGTGTTTAGTCGCTATGGAATGCTTGCAAGTCGCTGCATGCATTGATTTCACTTGTCATGTCTATATCCCATGCTATAAGGTGATATGGAAGTTGTGCTTTATAACTGTCAAAATGCTTGCTCTGAACCTGGGAACCCAGTCAGAAGGAATGGTCCACCACCCGTCAAGAAGGGCTATCAAAACTAAATGGGCCATTGTGGAACATCACAATAAAAAAACGTGCTTAACAGCCCTCTCACACCCTTGAAGCCGCTATGTGTAAGAAAACCTGTCCCATCAGCGTGAATGCTGGAAGAAGGGGATAAAACAGGAACACAAGAAAATTTTCTCTCTCTTTTTGCTGTTTGGACTCTCACAGCACTGGAGCTAGGAAACAGAAGCAGAGATCCCCAGGGTCAACCTGGGTTAGCCTTAAAAGACATTCAGTGCTGGCAGATTACTACAAACCTCGGTCACCTTTTGGAACCATAGACTGTAACTCATTTGTGTATATATGTTGCCTAGTTTAACCTGTAAATAACTCTCTCATTTCTTCTTCCTAGTTAATAAACGCTTAGTTCGTTTACTATAGGATTAGCTACAAGTGTTGTCTTTGGTGTGGTGTGGTGTTGTCTTTTTGTCTGAGGTACAAAATTGATCTGGGGTTAGTGACTGGTCTCTTGGGACTGGAAGCAACCTGAATCTTTCGTGATCTTTGGCATATGACAATCAACTATCACTAAGTCCAATTTGCGTGGGTGGCTAGATAGAGTGGAGTGCCCATGGGGACTATCAGTGACTCCATGGTAAGACTGTAATAGCACTTCAGGAGTTCACATTTGTTATTAGGTTGGTGAAATTTAATCACACAAGATACCAGTTTGGGGTGTCAGCCCTGCTTTTTGACAGTCTGCCCGGAGGTTGGCACGCTCAGTCATGAACCACTCCAGACACCGTGACAGGGTGGATGAAGTAAATTTGTTTCCCTGGATCAGAGTGGGACAGTAGGAGTTGGGAGGATGTTGTTTTTGCGCTGTACATTGTATGGATAAAAGATATGGTATGCTTCTCTGAAAACAGTCAGGTGAGCTAGAGGATGTTCTGTGGCTGATGTGAAGGGGCTCTTAGATTTGTAACTACTCTATGTGTGGTGAAGGTTTATGGTCACTGTTAGAAGTGTACCAGAGGTGAGACCTGGTGGTTGGGAATGAGAAGGGGGAGGGGGGAGTATGTGTGCATGCATATTTTCAGTCATGCTCGGTCTCCCAGTAGGGTGTGTGTGAAAATTCTGTCACAGTGAGCTCTGGTGCTAATAGTCATAGGGACAGGTGGTTCAGATTGCAGTGGCAAGAGAAGAGCAGCTGCAGGAGAATAATCTGTGATTTTTAAGAAAAGTCACGGATATAAACTTTTATATCTAGTGTTTGGTTTACATTTTCTACTTTTACCAGAAAAAGGGCTGATTAGCTTCTTGTTCTAAATGAAAGCTTAGTTACATATCAAAGATCACAAGCACTCCTGATGGGAGTTTTCAAAGGTTCTAAGTCCCTAACTTAAATTAACCACCCAATCTTTCAAAAAGTATTCAAAAGGGACTAGTTCTCTCTGAGGACAACAAAATACAACAAATCTGGACTCACTAGATTTCTGGAGATATAATATTAAAAGACTCCAAAAGCAGCTTTTCCAAAAGTGAAAAGCCTTCCACATTTCATATATCCAAAACAACTTGACCAATTAACCTCTAACTTTGCAAAATGAAATATGCCTGAAAAAGGCCAGGCAGAATTTAGATTCTTTGAGGACTGGATACAGGGACAGCAATAGCAGGATTAAAAATAAAATCTAGTTTCAATTTGAACTATTAGGTCTCTCTTATGGCTCTGAAAATAAAATTATACAGTAAGCATCATTTCAGATAATATTAAAAGGAAAAATTGTAATCTCAATAAAAATAAAAATAAATTGTAATCTCAATACAAATATTGTTTTCTGATGGAAAGAATCCCTCCAGCAACCAGGGGCACTGGAACAATTTTTATAGCAAGGGTTCTAAGAGCCATTGAATGAAACTGTAAACTTGGCATAAAATGGAATTCACTTCAAGCTTGGGGCTGCAGCAGCACCCCTAGCATGCCTAGTTCCAGCACCCATGCCAGTAACTATTCAATGCCATTAAATAAGTAACTTAGTACAATTATGGGAAATTACTTAATATTTTTTAAACATTTCCTATTTGCAATCAACAGAGTATCTGTCCAACACTAGCTTGTGGTGACTCCAGATTCAAGGCACCTGCATTACTGTGAACATAAATGATTCTGGAGTCTATGGTTTCTCTCTATGATGACCATCAGTTATCTTGAAGAAGGCTGTACTACTTTTGATAGCACAGACTTCATTCTGCAATATTCAGCAAAGATTTTACTGGTAACCTTAAGCTGATGCAACACTTGGTATTTATGTGGCATAGAGTCTTTTCTAGTTTATTTAATAAAAATCTGTTTCCAAAAATATCCTCAAAAATTGCACAGCAATTTTTGGCTACTAAATTTATGTGCATGCAGTTTTATATGGCCAAGTTTCTGCTCAAGCAAAAAGTTGGATTTGTGTATGCAACCTCTATTCTCATTCTTACATGCAAATCTGAATGTTTTCATGTACAAATATATATGTATGCAAAATTTTAGAAACTAAGTGGAGTCTGCTCTGAAAATTCAGCCCTCTACATCCACAGTGATAAAGTGCTGTACCTTCTTTTTGTAATTAGTGAAGGAATAACTAAACAAGAGGTATATAAATCAGCTGATAGTCACTATGATCTACTTGATCTCAAATTTCTTCACACTCAAGTGCCTTTTGTGCATTCCATAGTAAACAACCGTGGATCCACTTTATTGTCAACAGAAAGGTCAACTCTTAATTTCTTTGTTGCAGCATGAAGGTTGAACATGTCACTGTATCCTGAAAGTGACCGAGGGTAAAAGAGAGAGAAACCATCTAAGGTGACAGGTTTCAGAGTAGCAGCTGTGTTAGTCTGTATCCGCAAAAAGAAAAGGAGTACTTGTGGCACCTTAGAGACTAACCAATTTATTTGAGCATAAGTTTTCATGAGCAACAGCTCACTTCATCGGATGCATTCAGTGGTGCTTATGCGCAAATAAATTTATTAGTCTCTAAGGTGCCAAAAGTATTCCTTTTCTTTTCATCTAAGATGAGTTGTCTTGAGCTGACCAAATCTACCAAGCAAGAATGACAATTCTCTCATGCTCTCAAGAGTAACAAAAGAGGCTGGGCAACATTTGGCTATAATGAGATATGTTCATTTCTTCCTGCCTAAATAAAACACAATTTTAAAGTGACAAGATTAAAGAGATAAAGGAATACTGGCTTCTACTTAAGATTTATTTTCATTCCTTCACACATAAACAGGAAATAGATTTCTGAACATTTTATTGGTTGAACACACTTACAAGTTTTTGCATCTTCACCGGGCAATTTCTCTTATGCTGGCAAGTAATGGTGTCTGCAGTTAGGCAGCTACCACTTTCAACAACGTCACAATGCCACTTTCTCAAATCAAAGTAGAAAAACCCTGTCAAATCTTTTCATTGTCTTTTCTCTGTCCCCCTCCTCCTACTCTCCCAATTTTTATTCTTATTGACAAGGCTTATTATTCTTCCTCCCAATTCCAACTGAAATAAGCTACCCTTTTGCAAATAGTAGTCTCAACTATGTGGTCACTAGTAGTATAGGTCAATAATGTTATTAATATAGCACATGCTGCTGAGAGCAGATCAAACAGCCGTACTTTAAAATGTTAGTTTTGTGCAATTGAGACAAACAGCAGCAGTTTTTTACACATGATAAAAATGTAATATTGCAAGAACAGAACCAAAACCAAATCTAGTGCTAGTTACCACAACACAGCCCATTGATTTGGAGAATATATTATTTCTTTCTTGTTGTTTTCATACAACACACAAAATAAAATAACACCATAACAGAAGGGTGCTGTATCTGTGTTTAAAGAAGGGGTTGTTGGCAAACAGCACAGCTCACTTCTGCCGAAATGTACACAATTGATATATGCAGCACGGAAAGCTGGCACCATGGGCTTACAACCTTAATTTGCCTGCAAGAAGGAACGGAGATTTACCTTCAGAGCACGTTCTTGATTGTTTTCAGCAGTCAGATGTCTCGTGTTGTTTGCTGAAGTCTGGTTCTGCTCTTTCAGATGATGAAGCTCCTGCTCCAGCCGTTTGCACTGCAACGAGGAAAGAATTCCATTAAGTAAAGGAGATGGGGCATATTTTTTTTCCCAAGAAGCCAAATGAATTAATGTAAATAACACCATCACCATTTTTGCAGCGGAAAAAGCTTCCAACAAAAGCAAGTTGTAATCAAAGAGATGAAATCATATTAGATCTATACTATACTATACTATATATATATATATACACACACACACATATGTAAATCAATCTTTTATTCATTGTCTTGTTCAGATCCAATTGTTTGAAGGAAAAACTCATATATCAGGTATAGTATATCAAGAAACTCTGCCAAATAATATTTAAATATATTTTACAAATTAATATGACACTAAGCCAAATTCTGGTCTCAGCTGTGCTAGTGTAACAGAGAAGAATTTGCCTCATTATATATTTAAATATAATTGAATATGAAAAAATTAAGCGTGTACCTTCACAAAACCCCTCACTTTTTAATAAGGAAATATATGTATAGATTTATACAGTACATATTAATAAAACTCAGAGACTGCATTCCCAAATACCAGATCTTGGACAACAACTAGTTTTTTAAAAAAATGTTTGTTTTATAATAATCAACTTTTTAAAATAACCAAGAACATGATAGAAAATTTTAGTTTTTCCTATTCTGAGTGTGTGCATACAAACACTTAAAGGAGTTAACTTGAATAAGTATTTTAAAGGCCAAAATATTTAGGATATTCAAATTGGTACCCAAAGCAGATTTAACCAGTTTTCAAGATAGCAATGAGGGGCAAAACCCAGCTACCCTGGCTTACCACAGTAATTAAACAGTTAGCAGAAAAAAACTCTTATAAAAATAGGGAAAGGGGAACTAGAGATGTCTTACTATGGGCATGTAAGAGAGCATATTAGCTGAAAACATTAGCAAAACCAAAATGTTTTCAGCATACACCATATTACTGGGAAGCAGAAGGAAGGAGTTATGATAGCACCATTGAAAACCAAAGCATGGAGGAGCTTGACAGCACAGCATCTGAATATTCAAAGATGAGGAACATCTTCTGCTGATACTCAGAGTACACATGAAGGGAAGGGAGAAGATCAAAGATATAATGGCCACTAGCACTGTGATCTCAAAACTAAAAATTTAAACTCAAATAATATTACTATGGACAGATATGATTCTGGATTATTTTGGAAGCTATGTAAGGAATCAAATTTCCTATCAAATTTATAATCTGTCATGATGCAGGACTAGCGAGTAAGGAAGCATGGGTCATGTGAGCCCCAATGATTAAAAAGGGTAAGTGGTTCTGAACCAGAAGACCACAGGCAAGTGAGTCTATCTACAGTCCCAAATAAAATTTTAAAACTGTATCCAAAAGTGCATTTTCCAACACAAGTTTAGATAACACTATTTTATTTCCTTCTTTAAACCCTTAACCACAAATAATGGACTCTGGGCCCCATTACCAAACACTGGCACCTAAACTGGACGCCAAATCCCAAGGCTTGCATGGGTATCCAAATAACGGCAGTTGCTCAAAATGGGCAAATAAGGGCTGATCTAAGCACCCAAATGAAGTATCTGGGTGTCTATTTTATGTATTTGCATATGAAACCTGAGCTCAAAAAAGTCACCAGCTCTATTGAATTTCTCCTTTTTAAAAAGAGGGAATATTTCTGGAACTAGTATATTCTCTCGAAGTGGTGGCAGTGTGTAAGTGTGCTAACTGTATCACAGCTATTTCATTTTTATAGTGAACAACAAAGGAGAAAAAGATAGAGAAAAGAAAAAAAAATCTGTTAAAGTGCACCATGATGGATGGTGGTTGTGGATTTTTTTTCCTTGTTAAAGCCTAAGGCTAAGATGACATATTAATACGTTTGATTTGATTTGTGTATGTCTGTGTTTATTTGTATAAAGCAATGGTTCAAGTACTGATTATAATTTTAATGCTCATTTTATAGAAAATAGCAATCACAAATCATGCCCCTAAAATGCCTTTTCATAACAAGTGTGCGAGAAGTAAGGTGGTAGGAAAACAACTCCAACAACTCTAAATCAGATCTAATTAAATCCATGTATATATGGGTACAGTTTCTCTGACAGGCAGACTCATAACACCAGAGTTTTAAAAATCAGTTAGTTAACTCATTATCACAAATCATGAGTTTTCAATTGCAACTTAACATCAGCAAAATTGCCATTTCAACCTTTCAAAAATGCCTTCCTTTAAAAAAAAATCTTTTGTCTTGAAATCTCTTAACATTATACTCATTGTACCAATGACACTTAAAACACACTGGGGTAACATAAGGAGATGGGCCAAAAATTTAATCCATCTGAAAAATATCACACATTTTTATTCACGCTGCCCTCCTGGCTCCAAAAATAACACTGGTACATGGGTAATATTAAAACTAGTTATTGGATAATTCAATAACAAACCTCACGGGCCTGATGTTTTGCACAACTGCAGGCATCTGTGTGCACTTCATAATATTATTCTACTCTATTTGTTCCACTCTTATGAAGACAGGATATTGACATAAACAGAAACAGCAAGATTCTTGCACTATCCTAGCTACTCACAGGGCAAGCAGGCAAGTCAAAGAGAAGCAGCACAAAGCATGCATACCCCCACATTAAAGCAGCTGGTAGAATTAAATGTATGTCAATCTCAGCAGTGTCTAAGTTGATTTAAATATGCTAGATGTGCACTTTTCCATCTTCAGTGGATAAAATGATCTCATTTTCACTAAAAACACTGACAATAGAAAATCAGGACTAGTGTTGCTAGAATCCATTTTAGGGGTATCATAAAAAAAACCCCAAACAAAACAAAACAAAGTTAGCGACTTAATTTACATATCACAGAGAAAAAGTGTCTAATTAATTAAATCTAGGATAGTGTCACCCAAGTAGAAGGCACAAGTCACCTGATACATTTAAAATAATTCATTAACCAGACCTGTCACAGGTACATCACAAATCAAATTTATTTTCACCAGTCCAGGAAATAGCACCTAGATATGCCTTGTCTATGAAGGACTGTTGTTACAGTGACAATTTTGTATTTATATGTTAATGGTGTATATGGCATAAAAATCATCACTTTACAAAAATGTACAGTTAGAATATTTTTAGCATTAACAATACTGTACTAAAACTACACTCCTTTTTCACAAGGGCAAGAGTATCTGGAATTTCTGTGCAGCCAATATTTTTGCTGTTCGGAAGTAGCATTAAGAACAGTTTTAGACAATGTGGGCCTTCTACTCATTTCAGCCAACATTTTTTGACTTCTGTGTCGTTGGTTTTTAGCAGGATCCAATAAAAATAGATGTTCTTTAAAAGAACATGTGTTTTTATTGGTTCCCTGCTTTGCTGAAAGATGCCAACAGCTGCAAGGATGAAACTGGACTTCCTTCTAAAAACATATATAAAAATCTTTTTGGAGTAGGGCAGAGAAGACATGCCCAGTTTAATACTGACAAGGAAGCATCAGATGTTTGCCTTTAAGGCCTAATGGAGGAAGTCTTTTATTTTTAGTATTATAAATAAGAATTTCTAAACCCTGCCATATCAAATATGTGAAGGTATTTATTTGTGAAACATTCAAGCTATATCCTAGCAATATCAGAGATGTGAAACTATTTGAAAATGATATATCAACTAAAGTAGATTTTGGACTGTCTACAGATTCTTATTTGAAAGAAAACTGCTCACATAGAGGAAATCCTGAATTAAGCTACTTACTAGATTATGTAAAAGGCAATAATCATTTAGGATTCTGTTTCTTTCCTAGATCGAATATCTTACATACTTCGGACACAATTATGGCACATATGCACAGTGTTGTTGCAGGTCAAGAGGGCTGGGGGGCGGGGGATAAGCATGAAGTAGACTCCTAGAGACTTAGCTAGGAAGGGGTCATTAGAGCCTTGGTGAAGGAATGTCTCGTTTCATGGAGATTTCACACAAGTAACCCATTGAAGATCAAAGCTCACTCATGTAAATGGATTTTACCACCAAGAAAAGCTGCATAGTCAAGATATGCATCACCTATGCAGAGATCAAGTGTGTAATGTCAAAAAAGGGTGAAAGGATTTGATAGAAAACAGGAGACATTTTCCTAAAGAACAAACTATTATAAAATCTGGATCTACACATTAGCTCTAAAATTACCACGCTTAAGTCGGCTTTGCCGATGTCACCAACAGCCTCTAACCCAAACAGTGCTCCTCTTTAACTCCACCCCCCAGCTCTGCTCCCTTAGCAATAAGTCTTTCCGTTTTGTACAGCAGTTGCCAGTAAAACAGCAACATTTCCCAACACTTGCCACTCACCGTTGTACTAGTTTTCTTCTATAATTAAAATAGGAAACAACTGCAGTGTCTAGAGAACCACTGCATGGTAAGTGTTGGAATATGGTGACACTTTAACGGTGATCACCACACACTCATTCAAAAAGTAATCACTTTGGACAAGATTTTTATATTCCTCCTTCTGAATTACGTATGTATAGAGGGCTTTAGTTTTACACCCATGAATTTCAGAGAGGTAGTGAGAAAGGGACAGATATGATGGGCAACATAATTAGCATTTGCCACCCAATCTCCCATCCCCCATGCATCAAAGGGCTGAAGCAGTCCCACCCAGCTCAGCCAGTCTTCTTCCCTCCTGCTAGGCCTTGGAGCAGGGCAGTGCAAAAGGATCCGTCAGAGAGCTTTTCACCACTACGCCTTGAAGGGAAAAGAAAGTCCTAAGTCTTGCCCTCTATCAGGCCTGAGGCAGGTGGAGATACTCCTGCTGTGTGCCCCTGCTGTGTGCCGACTCAGAGCTTGGGGAAGAGCGGTCATTGTAGATTAGTCCCTCCCTCAGGAAGGGGATGAACATCCTCCAGATCTGGAGTAAGGGGGTTGGCTGGGGGTGTGCGTGTGTCTCCATCCTCCGGAGGCTATATCCCATCCCACATCTGGAGGGATTGAGGATCTTCCCTGTGGTGGTACTGCAGCATCACAG